CCCCTGGGCGGGGCCTGGGCGGTGGGCGGGGCCGCCATGGCGGGCAGCGCGGAGGGGCTGTACTCCCGGCAGCTGTGAGTGCGGGCACCGGGGGCTCGGACCGCCCTCCCTCCTCCCGGTTCCCCGGTCCCACCGCTGCCGGTCCTTGCCCCGCAGGTACGTGCTGGGCGGCGGGGCGCGGCGGCTGGCCGGGGCGCGGGTGCTGGTGTCCGGGCTGCGCGGGACGGGAGCGCAGGTGGCGGCGGCGCTGGTGGCGGCAGGAACCGGGTGTGTCGTCCTGCACGATGGTGGCACCGCCCGCACCGCCGACCGTGGCCAGCAGGTATCGGCGGGGGGGGGCGGCTACGGGCACGGGTGTGGGCGGGGGTCCCGGTGACAGGTACGGATCCATATGGGCAGGGGTCCCGGTAACAGGTACGGGTGTGGGTAGGGGTCCCGGTAACTGGTACGGGTCCATATGGGCAGGGGTCCCAGTAACCGGTAGAGGTGTGGGTAGGGGTCCCGGTAACAGGTACAGGTCCATATGGGCAGGGGTCCCGGTAACTGGTACAGGTGTGGGTAGGGGTCCCAGTAACTGGTACGGGTGTGGGTGGGGGTCCTGATAACAAGTACAGGTGTGGGCAAGGGTCCTGGTAACCGGTAAGGGTGTGGGCAGGGGTCCTGGTAACTGGTACAGGTCTGTATGGGCAGGGGACCTGTTGATGGGTCTGGGTGTGGGTCCCAGTAACTGTTACGGGTCCATATGGGCAGGGGTCCTGGTGATGGGTCTGGGTGTGGATGGGGGTCCCAGTCACCATTACGGCTGTGGGCAGAAGTCCCAGTAACAGGTACAGATGTGGGCAAGGGTCCCGGTAACCGGTACAGGTGTGGGAAGTGATCCCAGTAACAGGTACAGGTAGGGGTAGGGGTCCTGGTAATGGGTCTGGGTGTGGGTGGGGGTCCCAGTAACAGGTACAGGTGTGGATGGGGGTCCCAGTAATGGGTATGGGTATGGGTATGGGAAGGAGTCCCGGTAACAGGTACAGGTATGGGCAGGGGTCCTGGTAATGGGTACAGGTATGGGAAGGGGTCCCAGTAACGGGTGTGGGTATGGGCAAGGGTCCCGGTAACTGGTATGGGTGTGGGAAGTGGTCCCAGTAACAGGCAGGGGTATGGGCAGGGGTCCTGGTGATGGGTACAGGTATGGGGAGGAGTCCTGGTAACAGGTGTGGGCTGAGGGTCCCAGTAATGGGTACAGGTGTGGGGTGAGGGCCCCAGTAACGGGTATGGGTGTGGGAAGGGACACCAGTAAGGGGCATGGGTACAGACAGGGGTCCCTGTCCCGGGCATGGGTGTGAGTGGAGGTCCCGGCAATGGGTGTGGGTGCAGCTGGGGGGTCCCTGGTGCAGGTGTGGGTATGGGGTGCGGGGCTTCCAGTAACAGGTACCGGTTGGGGGTCCAAGTAAGGAGTGTGGAGTGGGAGGTCCCCGTCATGGGTATGGCACAGGATGCCCCTCATCATCACGGGCAAAGCCCATGGGGTGTCCCCTGTCACAGGTATGGTCCTTAGCAAAGGACCCCCAGCAGTGTGGTCGGGGCCCCATGGAGTGCCCTGCTGTGGTGGGCAGCACCCCAAACTCACGAGGTGCCCTGCTGTGTGCCCACCCCACAGTTCCTCCTGGGGGAGAGCGACATGGGCCAGAACCGTGCCGAGGCGTCCCAGCGGGTCCTGGCCGAGCTGAACCCCAACACGGTGGTGGCAGCTCACACCGGGGAGCTGTCGGAGGCCTTCCTCGCCTCCTTCCAGGTGAGCCCATGCCCCTGCCACCCTGGTGTCCCCTGGGGACGGTGGCACCCACTGACAGCCCCGGTGCAGGTGGTGGTGTTGACCGAGTCCTCGCTGGAGGAGCAGCTCCACATTGGGGACTTCTGCCATGACCGGGGCATCTGCTTCATCGTGGCTGACGCCAAAGGACTGGCAGGGTAAGGGGTCTCTGCTGCAGGGTCCTGCCACTGGCTCTGGGTCACCTTGTCCCCAGAGCCCTCAGCCCCGGGCAGGACCTGGTGGTGCTCGGGCAGCTTGGTGAGGCGTCTCCTCCAGCAAAACCCCTCCTGTCTTCTTCAGGCAGCTGTTCTGTGACTTTGGGAAGCACTTCATTGTTGAGGATCCGGCAGAAGGGGACCCGGTGTGTGCCATCGTGCAGGACATCTCCCAGGTAGGAGGGCAACCTCAGCAGGGTCCCCCGAGGTGCCGCTGCCTCCTTTATGCCACCTGGGTCTGGTCCCCCTGCCCTCATGTCCCTTCCCTTCCTCAGGGCAACCCGGGTGTGGTGACATACAAGGGGACAGAGGACAGCTATGGCCCCCTCTTCTCTGATGGAGACCTGGTGAGGTTTTCTGGCGTGGAGGGGATGACAGAGCTGAACGACCAGGAGCCCATCCGCGTCCGTGCACTGGGTGAGCTGCCCAGGGTGTCCCAGCTGCCCCAGCCCAGGGTTGGGGAACTCGCTGGGTCCTTGGCGATGACCGTGACATCCGTCCCCCTCTCATCCCCAGGTGCCTTCAAGCTAGAGATCTGCGACACCAGCTCCTTCTCGCTCTACCGCTGCGGGGGCCTGGTCTCGCAGGTGCGGCTGCGCCAGGAGCACTCCTACGTAAGTCCCCCCTTGTCCCCATGGTGCTGCCACCAGGGTTGGGACACCGCCATGCCGTCCCCCAGCCCCAGGGAACCTCTCACCCCAACCCTGGCGCTGTGCCGGCAGGAGCCCATGTCCCGGTCACTGGTAGATCCCAAGATCCAGGTGGTGAATCCCAAGGAGCTGCCACGCAGCCGCAGCCTGCACGCCGCCTTCCAGGCCCTGCACGCTTTCCGGAAGGAGCGTGGCCACCTGCCCCGACCCAGGGCATGGGTGAGTCCCCGTCTTGCCCCTGTCCAGTCCCCCTGGGCCCCCACCACCCTGCCTGGGGCTGCCCTCACCCCTCTGCCCGCAGGCGGACGCCGAGCGGGTGCTGGAGCTGGCGCGGAGCCTGGGGATGGAGCAGGGTCCCCTGGATGAGGATGTTGTGCGAGCCTTTGCCAGCGTGAGCGCGGGGGACCTGTGCCCCATGGCTGCCATCACCGGAGCCATGGCAGCCCAGGAGGTGCTGAAGGTGAGGAGGGTGAGGGTCCCGAGTCCTCAGTTCCTTCCCACTGGCCCGGGCTATGGCTTTGCTCGCTGTTCGGTGGCATTTGTTGGCCACGAGAGGGCACTTGCTGCCCACCTGGGGACACCAGACGGGCCAGCAGGGCTGGGGTGGCGTATGGGGGGGCACCCCACCGGCCACAAAGCTGATAGGGCCCCGTTCACCCCAGGCCATCACCGGGAAGTTCTTGCCTCTGGACCAGTGGTTGTACTTCGATGCCCTGGAGTGCATGGCACTGGAGGGGGCCGAGCGGCTGACGGAGGAGGACTGCGCCCCGGTGAGAGACGTGCCGAGTCCCTCCCGGGCACCAGGGGGGTGCCACGGCCATCTGTGCTCACCGCGTTCCTCCATCCCGATAGAGGGGCTCTCGCTATGATGGGCAGATCGCCATCTTTGGGGACGCCTTCCAGGAGCGGTTGGGCAGCCAGAAGTACTTTGTGGTGAGCTGGGAGGGGGTGCCACGGTGCCGGGAGAGGCTGCGGAGCCACCGGCCGGTGTGCCAGGAGCTGCAGCGGCTCTGCCCCGCCAGGTGGGAGCCGGCGCCATCGGCTGTGAGCTGCTGAAAAACTTTGCCATGATGGGGCTGGCGGCAGGGCCGGGTGGGGACATCACTGTCACCGATATGGACTCCATCGCCCCCTCCAACCTCCACCGGCAGCTCCTCTACCGCACGGCGGATATATCAGTGAGGCACCGTGAGGAGTGGGCTGAGCTCCCCTCGATGGGCACCTTGGCTGTCCCAGGGGCACCCCGGGGCCGTGGGGTGGTGGAGAGTCACCCGCCTCCTCTCTGCCCCGACAGAAGCCAAAGTCAGAGGTTGCTGCAGCAGCCGTGCGGTGCATGAACCCCGATATCAAGGTGACACCTCACCAGAACCAGGTGGGACCTGCCACCGAGCTGCTCTACGGGGATGACTTCTTCCGGAGCCTGGACGGCGTCGCCAGCGCCCTGGACACGCTGGAGGCCCGTGAGTGCTGGGGAGGGGAAAGGGGTCGAGCCCCAGGATGTGCCCCCCCCGGTTCCCCAGCACCCCTGGCTCCCCGCAGGTGCCTACTTGGAGAGCCGCTGCCTCCGCTACCTCACACCGCTGCTGGACTCGGGCACGGAGGGGCCACGGGGGAACGTGCTGCCCGTGGTGCCCTCCCTGACCGACCTGCTGCGGCCGGGGGCAACCCCCAGGGACGGCACCTTCCCCCTCTGCACCCTGCGGTACTTCCCCCGCACCATCCAGCACACGCTGCAGGTAGGCTGTGCCGCGCCAGCCCCGGCACCCAGCGAGGAAGCCCTGGCACCTTTGTCTTCCTTTCCCATTTCCCCCTCCGGCCATGGCCAGGATACAGCCCCAGCTGCTTCCTGCTGGCAGCCCCAGCTCTGCCGCTGGCCCTGGTCCCAGCGTGGCCTCTCCCTCCCCCTTGCCTTGGGCTGGGGGGCCCCCAGGGGGCACAAGGTGTGTGTGTTGGGGGGGTTGCTCCCATCCTCAACCCCCATTCCCCCTCCACAGTGGGCCCGCGATGAGTTTGAGGGGCTCTTCCAGCTGCCCGCGGAGCACATCAAGCGGTTCATGGAGTGAGTGAGGGGGGAGCGGCGCCGGGAGAGCGGCTGCCAGCCCTGCCAGGGGGCACTGCCCGCCTGGGATGGGGACGGAAGAGGGGGACGGACCACTGCATCCCACCCCAGGGTGGATTGCTCCCGGGAGAGCAGCAGCCCTGCTGTCTGGTTTTGCAGAGATCCGGGTTTCCCGGAGCAGCTGCCGGCCGGGAAGGCTCTGGAGGTCCTGGAGCAAGTGCGGTGGAGCCTGCGGGAGCGGCCGGGGGACTGGCGGGACTGCCTGCGCTGGGCACGGCGGCACTGGCAGAGCCGCTACCACGATGCCATCGCCCAGCTGCTGCACAACTATCCCCCGGAGCACGTGAGCCCGGCTCCCCCGGGGATGGCACCCCCTGCACCCTCTCCCCTCCCCTGGCCACCCTGCCCCAGCCAGGGGGACGGTGTCTCCAGGCCTGACTCTGCTCTCCCTGTGCCAGGAAACCAGCCCGGGTGTCCCCTTCTGGTCAGGGGACAAGAACTGTCCCCATCCGCTGACGTTCGACCCTGATAATGTGAGTGCAAGGGAGAGCGCTGGGGTCCCCTCCTGGGGACAGTGTGGGCAGGGGGAGAGCCAAGCCCATGCCAGGGGTGCAGTGGATGCTGGACCATGGCTGTGCTCCATCTGCCACAGCCTGTGCAGGGCTACCAGGTTCTGGGTCCTGCCAAGCCTGCCAGGGCTGCTGGGTCTGTCTCCTGTCCCCAAGTCAGCCAGGGCACTGTGGGGGACAGCCCATGCATGCTCTGTGGCTGGAGAAGGAGGAGGGAGAGGCACCTCCATCACCACCTCGGGGCAAAGCGGGCAGCCTTTGGGTTAGGGGGGCTTTTAGACCAGGAGCTCTGCGCCCACAGAACACCCACCTGGACTACATCCTGGCTGCTGCCCACCTCTTTGCCCAAGCACACAAGGTGCCACCATGCAATGACCGCACAGCCGCCCGGGACATCCTCCGTGGCATGGTCCTGCCACCCTTTGTGCCCCAGGATGGGCTCCAGATCCCCCTCACAGAGGAGCAGGAGGAGGGGCAGGTGCCTGCGGGTGAGGTTCCCGTGCCCCTGGATTCCCTGGGGCACATCCCCAGGTCCCTGGATCTGGCCTGGTGGCAGTGGGGCTGCGATGCTGCTCGTCCCTGCCCCAGCAGCCAGGAGGACCCAGACTGAGAGGGTGGGCACTGTGCCATGTCCCCCGCAATGACATGGTACAGAGGTACCACCCAAGGGGTTCCTGTGCCACCAGACACCAGGCAGCTGGCAGAGCTCACCCAGGACCTGGAGCAGCGGAGACAGGAGCTGGTTGGGGGTGAGGTGGCACAAGTGCCCCTGATGGATCCCATCTACTTCGACAAGGTACCTGTGGCCGGGCAGGTGGCCCTGCTCAGCCTGGGGGGGTTGGTGGCTGCTAGTCCTTGTGGGACACCATAATCCCCACGAGACCTTGATGTCTCCACACTCTTCCCTGCAGGACGACGACATCCACGTGAACTTCATCACGGCAGCGTCCAACCTGCGGGCAGAGAACTACGGCATCCCCCCTGCCGACTGGATGACGGTGAGAGGGGCAGCCAGTGGGACTGGGGGTCCCCATCCCATGCGGGGGCAACCGGTGACGCTGCTCCTGTCCTCAGAGCAAGCGGATCGCCGGGCGCATCCTGCCTGCCATCATCACCACCACGGCGGCCGTGGCCGGGCTGGCGTGCCTGGAGGTCTACAAGCTGGTGTGGGGTTGCCAGGACCTCAGCCGCTACCGCAACAGCCACCTCCGGCTGTCCGACTGCTGGCTGCTCCGCGTGCAGCCCCTGCCACCCCGCACCTACCAGGTAGGACCCTCTCCCCCGGGGCGGGGCAGGGCAGGTGGGGGATGCCCAGGGGTGCCCCGGTGCCAGCTGCTGCACCGGTGGTACCAAGGGGGGACCCAAGGAGGTGGCCACGCAGGGGGGGCAGCCCTGGCCGTAGGGCTACGGAAATGGATGGTGGGTGTCATGGTGGGCTGGGAACACCGCCAGGCGATGAAGAACCAGCTCCTTCCTGCAACCGCCCCCCCATGGCACCCAGCCACCCTGGCTTTGGGCACGAGCGGGATGATGCTCTGGGGGCACCCCCACCGCTGGGGACCCCACAGCGGGCCCCACGGCCAGCCCAGAGGGAGGGGGTCCGTGGCAGCCGCGCACATCTGGCTTATGGAAACCAGCTGCAGCAGCCGGAGAGCAGCTGGCACTGGGCCGGGAAGGGCCGCCCGGGAGGAGCGGGGCTGGGGGTCCCGGCGGCGGGGGGCCGGCCGGCAGCCGGGGAGGGAGAGCGGGGGCGGGGGCCAGCCCAGATTGGGACCGTCTGGGCGATAGAGGCCCCTTTGTCTGGGGGTTTATGGCGTGCGAGGCAGCCCTTCCGGCACGGCAGGAAGCGCCGATTGGAACCAGATTGGCCCGGGGGGCCCAGGGCCGGGGGCAGGAAGAGGGGGAGGGAGGCGTCTCCATCGCCCTCTCGCCAGCTCCGGCATCGCTTTGGGCTGCCCAGCCGCCCCACGGCCCCCTCGCACCCCACATAGGGCTGCCCAGCTGCCCCATGGCCCCCTTGCACCCCACATGCCCAGCTGCCATGCCACCAGGTTGGCACCATCCCCGGGTGGAGGATGCTGCTGGGGCTGGCCGTGCCCTCTGGTCCCCGCAGCAGCACCTGGCTCCTCCATGTCCCATGGTGAGGATGCTCCCAGCCGCTCGGCCACAGTGGGACCACATGTCCCATGAGCCTGCTTGGCATCACCTGCAGTCCCGGGAAGCCCACCTTGGGGGGGGCCAGGATCAGCCAGGGGACGGGCTTTCTAGGGCACTGGGGACAGGCGATGCCATTCCCTCTGCGCTGGGCAATGGCCTGGGTCTGTGCTGCCCCGGAGAGGATGGGGTTAAGCCCTTTCCACCCCGGTGAGATAAGTGCAGGCAGCAGAAGGCAGGAGGTGAGAAGGCAGCAGAAGGCAGGAGGGGGCGAGTGGCCAGGTGTGAACACCCCTCCCGAGCGGGGCCGGGCAGGGGCTGGCGCTGCCTGCGGCGAGGGCAGATGGCAGGGCGGCCGTGCCAGACGGCGCGGGGCCCGCATCCTGCTCTCGGCCCCGAATTCGGCGCCTCGCCGGCCCCCCTCGGGCCAGAGCCAGGGTCAGAGGGCTGCGGGTCCAAGAAGAGCCGATTGTGTGTGGCTGGGCAGCGCTTCAATGGCTCTTTGTGTGCCCTCCCTGGCCTTGGGGCTGGGGGCAGCAGCCGGCCCCACACCAATTTTGGTCCCCCCTGCCGTGCCAGGGGGACGGCGGTGCCTCCCCACTGCCCCTGGACGCCAGCAGCGATGAGGGGATGGCTGTGCCCCCCATTGCCCTTGGATCCCAGTAGTGCTGGGGGGATGGTGGCACTCCCCATTGCCCCTGGAGGAGAGCTGTGCATCCCATTACCCCTGACCCACCATGGTCCCCCCTTCCCCTGCCCCCAAAACTGGTCCCGTTGCCTGCCCCGCTGCACCTCAGCCCCTCCTGCCCCACCAGTCCCTGCTCCGTGGGGCCAGGCAGCCAGGATGTGGGGTGACAGTGCCAGCTGCTACCCTGCGCTCCCCCTTGCAGTACGGCGGGCGGGAGTGGAGCTCCTGGGACCGCCTGGAGATGCGGGCAGACAGGCAGGAGGTGACGGTGCAGGAGGTGCTGGACTGGCTGAAGGTGAGCATGGGGCAGGCAGCACCCAGCTGGGTCACCCTGGGGGGGTGAGGGGGGGTGCAAGGACCCCCTGACACCCACCTCCTGCAGAAGACACACGGCTGGACCGTGACTAAGCTCCTGCATGGCTTCACCATGCTCTACGACAGGGAGGAGGAGGAGGACAGACGGACCCAGCAGCTGGCACAGAGGTAGGTCCCCAGCTTCAGGGCCCAATCCTGCCCTGGGGAGGGGGAAGGGGGGGGCTGCCAGACCCCCTCTCCCTCCATCCTGAGCTGCTCCAGCTGCAGCGCAGCTCCCAGCCGGCTGCTGGATAAACATCCTGCCGGCAGCATTTCCCGTGGCGGGACCCCTGCCCGGCCCCTCGCTGCTGGCCCCTGCATCCCCCCCAGCCTGGCTGGGCGCCCCAGGGGGGCCACAAGCTTGGGGGGGGTCAAGCCAGTGTCCCCCAAACCCCCTATCCCTGCTACAGGTTATTGGAGAACTCAGACGATACTGGGGAGCCAAGGCGGCGGGTGCTGGAGTTGAGCTACGTGTGCGAGGGAGAGGATGCTGAGGCTGAAGATGATGCCCGGCCCCCCCTCCTCTGCTCCCTCCCCTGAGTGGCGGGCTGCCCCCCCCCCACAATATGCAATAAAATCTTCAGCTGAGCTCTGGTGCATTGGCCCTTGTCTCAAAAAAACCCCAAACCCTGCTTGCCCCTGCCCAGAGTTGGGGTACAGGCCCCCCCCCCAACCCCGACAAACATCGCTGTGCCCGAACCATACAAAACCGGGGTTTGTTGCTGTGGGACTGGTGGAAGCAGGCGCCTTTGGGCTGCCCCCCCAGTCCCAGGGGGCAGGAGAAACGCTTGGTGGCTTCGCGACCTGCTGGCCGGGCACCATCAGCTCCTCGGGGCCGGGCCATGTTGGCCAGTTTTCGGCGTACGTTGCCCGAGAGGCTGAGCAGGAAGGCGGGGGGCTTGGCCAGCCGGCGGGTGGGCTCGGTGGGGTTTCGGCGCCGGGTTTCGGTGCCCACTTCGGGCAGGTCCATCCAGTTCTCCACCAGGTCGGCGAAGCAGTTGTCACCCAGCACCAGGGGCTGCCGGTTCCGGCTCTGTGACAGCAGCGCCACGGTCCAGTCCTGCGCGTCACCTGGCTCCAACACCCGCCACTGCTCCAGGCAGGCGTCCGAGGTGGATTTGGGGCGGACACGGCGGGTGGGGGCGGGTGGTGGGGCAGCGGGGCCGGCGGAGAGCCGGTGTGCCCGTTGGCAGGGCGGGGGGTGCCGGCGTCGCACGGGCACCACCTCCTCCTCCCGCCACGTGCCCCCCGACGCCTCTGAATACCCCGAGTCGAACTCCAGGCTGCGCTCGCTGGCTGGGGGGGAGCGGGCAGCCGGGCCCCCCCCTTCTTCCTCTTCACCTCCCGGCTCCAGGCTGCAGGCTGAGTCCGCCGCCGAGCCGGGGCGCGGGGGCCGGGGGGCCGGTGCCCCTGCGGGGGGGTGCTGGACAAATAATAATAGCAGGCAAATAGTAATTAATCATTCTCTATATGGGTATAAATGTTTGCACGCCAGCTCCTTGCCAAACGCTCAAGGTGCTTTACGTCCCCTCGCCCCCCCCCCCCCCCCCCCCCCCCCGCGCGGGCGGGGGGGGGGGGGGGGGGCTTCGCTTGCCGGGCCGGGCGTGCAGTGGGGAGTGGGGCGCAGGTCCCAGCTTGCCCGCAGCCCCGGGCCCCGCTTTCCCGTGGCTCCTGCGCGGAGCCGGCCGGCGTGCAGCGGCATGTCGGGTGAGCAAGCAGGCACCCAGCCCCGGCCGTGCCTGCGGGAAATGACACAGGGCCACGGCACGTAGGAGCCGGGCACCCCGCTGCCCCCCAGCTGGCACCCCCTCCCCTCCCCAAGTCCCCCATTCCCCTATGGGACGGCAGCCCGGACACCCCGCTGGCAGGACCCTGCTGGGTGGCGCAGCCCCGGGGCACCCACGGGTGCTGGGGTGGGGCTCTTCCCCCCACGCGTTGGCAGGGCCACCCCACCCACCCTGTGCCCTCCAGCCGGGGACACCCCGGCTGACGTCAGGGCTGGGGGCCCCCCCCAAAGCGCTGGGGAGCAGGGGGGGGGGGGGAGGGGGTTGAGGCTGAACGGAGCGTGGCCGGGCGGGCGCTGGAGGGGGCGGCTGGCTCCCGCAGCTGGGCCGCTCCTCGCTCTTGAATTCCTATTGTCTGAACCCAAAAGCAGGGTGTTACGTCCGCTTTCCTTTCCGTGTTAGGGCCGCGGGAAGCCGAGCGAGCAGGAGGGATCGCTCTCCCCCCATCCTGGTAAACCAGCCCCCCTTCCAGCATGTCCCGACAGAGCTGCTGGCCAGGCTGTCCCTGTCCCCGTTCCGTCCCGGGCCCCGCCAGCTGGGACCCTCTCAGCCAGCCCCGTTGGTGACGTGCCACCGCTCCGAGCTGCCCCGTCCCGGTGCTGCTGGCCGGGGACGCCGGCACACCCGGCCGCGGGGAGCTGGGTAGGCGTGAGGCAGGCCCAGGGGAGCCGGCTGGGCCACCCTGTCACCCTCGGTCCCCTTGGGGCAGCTCCAGGGTGGCAGCGCCGCTGGCACTGCGACGGCTGGACACCGTGGTCCCTTGGCCACCCCGCATCCCACGGCCACCCGTGTCCCACCGGTCGCCCGTGTCCCACCGGACGCCCACGTCGTGTCCCCCACGGCGTCACCTTGGCCTTGCGCATGATGTCACGGCACTGATGTCACCGCCATCGCCCTGACATCACGGCGATGCCCCGGCGGGGCAGGGTGGCCCCGTCCCCTTCCCGCTGCCCGCGGCGACACTCACCCGGTCGGCGCCGAGCTGCTCCGGGCGGCCGCTCTCCATGCCCGGCCCGGCCCCGCTCCCGGTCCCGCCGGTGCCGGTGCCGGTGTCGGTGTCGGAGCAGCAGCAGCAGCAGCAGCGGCGGCGGTGGCGGCGG